CGATTCTTCCAACATTCTGGAGATTGCTTCTGCATCTTCCGGGCTATCGGGGTTAAAAAATCTACCATGATTAATAATCTTACAGGTGGACTCTTCGATATTGGTAGGGTTCCTGGAAAGTGCGTCAGCATTAATATTGGTTTTACCAGCTTTATATACTACGTCATATTCGTACTCTGTTAGTTTTAATCTCCAGCGAAGTATCCTCATATTCGCGTCTTGGGCATTTTTAAACCATAACAAAGGTTTATGATCAGTAACTAGTGTAAATTTCCGTCCATATAAATACGGTCGGAAATGTTTAACACAATATACGATAGCTAGAGCTTCTTTCTCGTAAGTATCGTATTTCAACTCGTTATCTGTCAAAGTTCGAGAAGCGTAAGCTATTGGTCGATCTTTATTCATTTATCCTTGCGACAGAATGCCTCCGACGGCTATTCCGGAAGCGTCTGTAGTTAAAATGAAAGGTTTAGAAAAATTAGGATATTGTAATACAGGTTCTTGACATAATTTTTCTTTTAATGTTTCGAATGACTCTTCTTGGTCGGATATCAAAGCGTACATCGTTTTTTAACAAGGCTGTCAAAGGTTTAGCCAATTTTGAAAAATTTGGTATAAATCTTCTGTAATAACCTGCTAATCCTAGAAACTGCTTAATGTTCTTCGGCGTTTTAGGTCTAGGAAATTGTCTTACAGATTCTAATTTTTTCGAATCAGGTTTAACTCCATCTTTACTGATTATGTGTCCTAAATATGTTACTTCTGGTTTTAAAAATTCACATTTATCAGGCTGTAATTTTAAATTGGCCTTGCGAAGTCGTTCAATCAGCAAATTATATTTTCGTTCGTGTTCTTCTAATGTCGCAGCGTAGATAACAATGTCGTCCATATAGACGAATAATTCTTTTCCTTGTAATCCGATCAAAACTAAGTCCATTAATCGCTAAAAGGTAGCAGGGGCGTTCTTTAATCCGAAAGGCATCCGGTCGAATTCGTAATGACCAAAGGGTGTTGTAAAAGCTGTTTTATGACTATCTATAGGATCCATTTTTATTTGATGAAAACCGGATGCTAAGTCGCACACTGAAAAATATTTTGCCCCGCCTAATTGATCTAAAATATCAACGATATTTGGGAGTGGATACGCATCGCCAATAGTTTTGTCGTTTAGGGTTCGAAAATCTAAAACCATTCTCCAACGTTTATTTCCCTTTGAATCTTCCTTTTTCGGTACAATCCAAATGGGTGTGTTATACGGTGATTGTGAAAATTTCACAATACCTCCGTCTAAGAGTTCTTGTACTTGTTTATTTATTTCTTCTTTATGTAGTTGTGGAAATCTATATTGTCGAGTATTAATGGGTCGATCGTCTGTTGTCGATATTTGATGTTGTAATACGTTAGTTGCGGTCAATTTTTCTCCAGGAATATGGAATCTGTCTTGGCTCATAGTTATGAGCTCTATTACATTTTTTCTTTCTCGATCACCTAAATGCTCCAACCGTAATAGGTCCTTAATTTCGTTGAGTCTATCTTCTTTAATTTCTTCCAATATTGCAAAACAATTATTATCTTTTGTGTCTTCATTTTGGAAGTTTTGATTAATTTTCTCTTTGTGTTTTGCTTTGTGTTTTTGCATAGATTTATCTATCATTTCTTCAGATTGAATTTTTGCAGACGCTAGAATTTTTATAGACGGTTTATTTTCTTTTGGGTTATAATTATAAGTTTCATTTAAATTTTCCATTTGTATTAATCTTTCGTTATCTTCTTTCTTTTTGTTATTTAGTAATTCAGGATCTTCGAGAGAAAAGCCCCTTTCGTTTATTCTTTTTGGTAAAGAGGAGGTCGCATTGCGTAAAGAGGTTTGGTAACTTTCCTCCTCGCAAGCGACAGGAGTAGAATTTAGCAGGGAAGTCTGGAAACTTTCCTCTGCAATTCTAAAATTAATTAAATTGTTTGGAGAGGTTTGGTGGCTTCCTTCTCCAAGAATTCCTGAATTATTATAATTTTCAGGAGAGGTTTGGTAACTTCCCTCTCCAAGGATAATGGATTTATTATAATTTTCAGGAGAGGTTTGGTAACTTCCCTCTCCAAGGATAATGGATTTATTATAATTTTCAGGAGAGGTTTGGTAACTTCCCTCTCCAAGGATAATGGATTTATTATAATTTTCAGGAGAGGTTTGGTAACTTCCCTCTCCAAGGATAGTGGATTTATTATAATTTTCAGGAGAGGTTTGGTAACTTCCCTCTCCAAGGATAATGGATTTATTATAATTTTCAGGAGAGGTTTGGTAACTTCCCTCTCCAAGGATAATGGATTTATTATAATTTTCAGGAGAGGTTTGGTAACTTCCCTCTCCAAGGATTCTGTAATTAGAATCTTGTGTTTTCTTATTTTTGTCTTTGATTTTTGTTTTTACATTATTTTTTTCGTCTTTAATTACCGTCATAATTTTATTTAAATCTTTATTGGTTCTTTCGTTGGTTTAATTTTCTTCGTTATCTTCATTTACTATAGCGTCTTTGATTTTATTTATAGTTTTGTCCTGATGGATATTTAAGTTAATCTCATCATTAGAGTTATTTTGTATGTTTAATTCACCTTGGGTGTTTTGTTTTTCATTATCAAAAATTTCATTTAAAGGTTTCAGGCGTAAGGTTGGTACTTGGACTTCAATTTCTTCGTCTAAGGTACTTATAACTTTTAAGTACGCCTTGCCTGAGATGTTTTCCACTATTGTGTCGCCCAGGTAAATTCCGTGAGCTACCTTTATTCTTGGTACATATCCTACTTTTACATCCGGATTCTCCACTCTCACATAAAATAACGATTCTGATCGTGGGGTTACAATAATCGTCTCTGGTGAAAAAAAAGGTATATTAATTCCAGATACATCTAAATATCCCTTTGCGTAATCTATTTTGGAAAAAGTTTGTTGAAAAAAATCGTTACCTAATATTCCGAATTGAGAAATCGGAAAGTCGTCTGACATGAGGTGAAAAGTTACGTCTTGCTTGAAGAGAGATATCGTTATTTCCCCGAGAGTGTACACAGGATACTCGTTTATGCCATTTAATTTTAAGATATTATTATAATTAACTGTTCTATTTTTAGGAGCAAATTTTTCTTTAATAACATTTGGTCCGGATCCTGTGTCTAGCATTAATGTTATGTGCGGAATTATTTTACAATCTTTTATTTGAACTGTGGGCGCGCGACTATGTTTATCTAAATTTACCGTTACTTGTCGTATATTTGATATATTTTTACCTACTTGCGTTCTTGTGAGGTAGTCGGGTGTGAGATTTGTTCGGACCCCTGTTGCACACCCGATTTCAAAGGGCCCTGAGAGTTTCCCTGATTATCGGTTCTCCTACGATTGTTACTAGCGATTCGCAATTTACATGATTCCAACAAATGACCGGTTTCTTTACAATAGCGACAAAACGCGTTATCTTTGGCATTCTGTGATTGATTTAAATTTGAACGGCAATTTCTGGCAATATGTCCGAAATTATTGCACATTTGACAAACAATTTTCGTTTTATTATCACTATCGCGTTCGGAGTTCTGTTTTTTCCAACAATTGCTAGCGAGATGACCAGATTTATCACACCATTGACAAGTAATAGAATTTTTATTTTGGGACAGATTATTGTTTATTCGGCAAGTTTTGGCGTTATGCCCTGATTTTGAGCATAATTGACAAGGGACTTTATCTATTTGTAATACATTTACGGGTCTTGAAGATCGAGGATCACGAAATCGACACTTATCGGCATTGTGTCCGCGTTTCTTACAAATTTGGCAAATTAAAATTTCTGTTCCGAAATCAGGCTTAGGTTGGGAAACAGATGTTAGTTTCCTACAGTTAATAGCTACGTGACCTTCTTTATGGCATATTTGACAACTTTCTTTTAAAGGGCTTATAGTGTCACGTCGTTGGCCTTGACCTGATCCTCCTCCTTGTCCCTGTCGTAAATCTGTCATCTCTTGTAACTCTCTTTCTATCCTAAGCGCGTCTGCTACTGTTTCCGTAACGCCCAAATTCCTAGCTATTCTTTGCTCGATTTCGGGTTTCAATCCTCTTATGAAGTACTTACACATGTCTTTCTCTAATGCAGCTTTAATGTTTTGGCTTGTTGGATCATTTCCTGGATTTTTATAAGATTCTAATATTTGTTTTCCTAAAATTTTAACTCTATTCGCGTATGTAATTACGTCTTCGTTATTTTTCTGATAAATACACCCTAGCTCTCCTTGCAATTGATATACATTTTTAACAGGCCCGTAAACTTGCTTTAAATACTGTGTTAATTCGCTTACACTGTTAAAGTTCCTATCTTGTATAGTACGTCGCGCTTCTCCTACAATTCTACTTCTTATTATTTTGGTGAATTGCCACTCTGCTTCCGCAGGTAGCATAGATTTTGCTTCTTCGCATCCTTCAATAAAATAAGTCAATGGAATATTTTGACCGTTAAAGAAAGGGACGGTTTCAACGACGTATTTCAAAGTACCGTACATGTTGTTATTTGCCGTTGTTCTGTTAGACCCTTCCGGCTTAGGGGTGGTCATTTTATAGCTAAATGAAGGTAGAATGGTATCGTCTGCGAGGACGTCGGAAGCGGTTAGATCGAGTACCAGAGTGTTATCATAAGATTTAGCATATCATGCGTCGCATTAGGAAGCGACATCTCACGGGAGGATACATAAAGACAAAGAGCTTTTCGTTTTGATCTTTGTGTCTGCGGATCGACAATTAGAGCAGAGATAAAGGAGCACGCGTCGTGATTAGACGTGCCTCGGCGATCGTTGACCGGCGACGGAAGATTGTGCGAACTCCGATATAATAAAGGATTTATTTTACATTATACATCTCGACTCCTCCGGATTCAATCCCAACTCTTTCCAAAAAGTTATAACAATTGGCGACGAGGCTAAAGTGAAAGAATCTGCGCTGAGAAGAAGACCACTACATTACAAAGAATATGGCGGAAGCACGTGTACAAGCAATGTTTCACATCGAGCCGTTTGATATCACAGCGAGTTGGCCACGCTGGTTAAGTCGACTCGAAGGGGCTTTTAAACTTTTCAAAGTACCCGCTGAAAATAAGGTATCATACTTATTACATTATATCGGACCTGCTGCTTTCGATGTAATTTGCAACAAATGCGTGCCAGTGGACCCTTATGAACAAGAATACGGGGAGGTAGTTGAAAAATTACAAGAGTTCTACGCTCCAGCATCTCTGGAAATTGCCGAAAATTTCCGTTTTCAACAACGGCGTCAACTCGAAAACGAAACTATATTACAATATATGGCGGCATTACAGAAACTAAGCATTAACTGCAATTTTGGAACGTATCTCAAAACAGCGTTAAGGAACCAGTTCGTATTTGGTATAAAAAGCACGAGAATACAATCAAGACTTTTGGAATCCCGTGCCTTAACTTTCGATAAGGCGGTGTAGCTGGCAACGAGTATGGAGATGTCGGCGAAAGATACAGATCAGTTACAAAATTCGAGTACAGCACTGGTACAGGTGGCAGATTCAAAGAAGAACATAGGAAAAAAACCGAAGACACGCGACAACTATCAGAAGAAGAAGACCGAACATCGATTTACACCGAATTCTACTAAAAATAATACATCGCTTAATACATATCATAATAAAAATATTCATTGTTACAGATGCGGTAAAGGACATTTAGCTACACAGTGCACATTAAGTCGCGATATCAAATGTCATGCTTGTGGAAATAAAGGGCATCTCCAATCAGTGTGTTTTAAAAACAAAAGCCAAACACATCAATTAGAGGACATTCTCAGTACAACATGTCAGGATAATATTATGATTTCACAATTAGAACAAGGTGAATACAAAGGTAAATTCATCACACGATTACAGGTAAATAATAAAAATATAGATTTTGAAGTAGATAGCGGAGCGGCCGTAACAATAGCAAATAAAGGTCAAATGCTCAATTTGTTTCCAAATTCGATCATACATCCAACGAACTTACAATTAATGACTTTCTGTGAAAACACGTTACAAACCGTAGGGTTCATCGTAGTAAATGTTAAATACGGAAATGTGAAACGCAAATTAAATATTTATCTTACAAAGGTAAACAGAAAACTGTTATTAGGCCGCGAATGGCTACGCCAACTTTTACATTGTACAGCTCTTAAGGAATTATCATTAAGTACTCATTCAGAAGAATTACTAATGGTAAATACAAACCAGCAATTAGAAAATATCTTACAAAAATATAAAAGTATTTTCGAAGAAAATCTTGATTCTATTAAAGATAAAAAAGCTCATTTAACACTAAAGAAAAATTCACAACCTATTTTTCTCAAACATCGCACAGTACCTTTTAAATTGTTGCCACTAGTGGATAAGGAAATAGAAAATTTAGAAAGCGCTGGAATTCTAGAAAAAATTAATACTTCTGAATGGGCTACACCCATCGTACCAGTCTTAAAAGAAGGGGGAAAGATTAGGATATGTGGAGATTATAGCGTTACACTTAACCCTAATTTAATTGTTGATGATCACCCTTTACCTACAATTGATGAACTTTTCTCCGAAATGGCGGGTGGAACATCATTTTCAAAAATTGATTTGAAGCAGGCTTACTTACAGTTAGAGGTTAGAAAAGAAGATCAACAGTATCTTACATTAAACACACATCGTGGATTATACAAACCTACAAGACTAATGTACGGAATAGCCTCTGCCCCAGCTATCTGGCAACGAGAAATTGAGAATATCTTAAAAGATATTCCAGGAGTTACAGTTTTCCTGGACGACATTAAAGTGACAGGCACAAACGATACGGAACATTTACACAGACTAGAATTAGTTTTTCAACGATTGCACGAATATAACATAAAAGTTAATCTAAAGAAAAGCGAGTTTTTTGTGGATAAAATTGAATATTCCGGATACATAATAGACCGTCAGGGAATACACAAAGATAAAAAGAAAATAGAAGCAATAGAACATATGCCAATTCCAAAAAACGTGTCCGAAGTTAGAGCATTTATAGGTTTTGTAACTTATTACAGCCGTTTTATTAAAAATCTCAGTACAATTTTGTATCCATTGAATAAATTACTACATAAAGAAACTCCATTTCTTTGGACACAAGAATGTGATACTGCTTTCAAAAAGGCAAAAGAAGTTTTTCAAAACAACGAAATATTAGCTTATTACGATCAAAAAAAACCGCTAATTTTAGCTACGGATGCCAGTTCTTATGGTGTAGGGGCTGTTCTATCACACATATATCCAAATGGAACGGAAAGAGCGATACAATACGCGTCATGTACATTAATAAATACACAAAAAAAATACGCTCAAATCGATAAAGAAGCTTACAGCATAATTTTTGGAATAAAAAAATTTTACCAATATTTGTACGGAAATAAGTTTGTACTTTACACCGACCATAGACCATTAGTTCACATTTTTGCACAATCAAAAAGTTTACCTGTATATAGTGCAATGCGCATGCAACACTATGCATTGTTTTTACGCGGTTTTAATTACACAATTAAATATAAGAATACAAAATTACATAACAACGCTGATTGCCTATCACGATTACCAATTGAAAAACAAGAAAGACGCGAATATGATGTAATTGATGCATTTCAAATCGATACGATTCAATCTCTACCGGTTACATTTACAGAATTAGTTACAGCTACTAAACAAGATACACAGTTATGCAAAATACTAGAAGCATTACAAAGCAAAAGAGAAATAGATAAAGAGAATAAGTCACGTAATAAATAATTGGAATATAGTTTACAACAAGGAGTAATTTTACGCGGACACCGAGTTATTATACCTAAAGTATTACAAAAGAGAATATTACAAGAATTGCATAGTGTACATTTTGGTATTGCGAAAATGAAAATGTTAGCTCGTAGTCACGTATGGTGGTCTGGTATAGACACCGATATAGAGCAAATTACTAGGAACTGCGCTGAATGCAATGCAAACAAAAACAACCCCCCAAAGGTTAAGCATACTTGGGAATCAGCAACTTTTCCATTTGAGCGTATACATATAGATTTTGCGGGGCCATTTAAGGGCCATAATTTTCTAATACTTGTCGATGCTTATACTAAATGGCCCGAAGTACATATTGTAAACAACATTACTGCAGAAACAACAATAAAAAAATGTCAAGAGATTTTTTCAAGGTTTGGGCTTCCAGTACAACTAATATCAGATAATGGCCGTACCTTCATATCGACAGAATTTCAAAAATTCTTACAACAAAACGGTATTAAACACAAATTAACTGCACTTTACAACCCATCTACAAATGGGCAAGCTGAACGTTTTGTACAAATCTTAAAAAAGTCTCTCCTTAGCATTAACATACAAAATACGGATTTAAATACAGCGTTACAACGTATCCTTATGCAATATCGTATCACACCCCATTGTACAACAGAAATCTCACCTGCGGAACTCATGTTCAATAGAAAAGTAAGATGTCCACTAGATATAATGAAACCTACAAGTAAAATTACATCACAAACAAACTGTAATGAAAAATTCAGACAATTTGATGAGGGAGAGAGAGTGAGTTGCCGAAACTATCGTTTAAGAGATAAATGGATTTTTGGGAGAATAAAGAAACGTATAGGGAAATTGCATTATTTAATACAATTAGATGATGATCGAACTTGGAAACGTCACGTTAACCAAATACGACTGATTGGAGAACACACCCCACTACGCATTAGTAGTTGTAACAAAGAAAACAAATATGTGAGCTATAATAATTCAAAAGAACAGGATAGTGAGGTACCGCTTAGACAACATGAAACAGATAGATTCTTAAAGGTACCGCAACTACGTAGATCACAAAGATCAAGAGCACCTCCTAAAAGATACGGAGATTACATAACACACTAAACATTTTATTTTGAATTTTCAGTTTATTTAGAAGTTTCAGTTTTGTTTTATTTTCTTAAAGAAAAAAAAAGAAGGGAGGTGTTATCATAAGATTTAGCATATCGCGCGTCGCATTAGGAAGCGACATCCCACGGGAGGATACATAAAGACAAAGAGCTTTTCGTTTTGCTCTTTGTGCCTGCGGATCGACAATTAGAGCAGAGATAAAGGAGCACGCGTCGTGATTAGACGTGCCTCGGCGATCGTTGACCGGCGACGGAAGATTGTGCGAACTCCGATATAATAAAGGATTTATTTTACATTATACATCTCGACTCCTCCGGATTCAATCCCAACTCTTTCCAAAAAGTTATAACACAGAGGTTTGGAAAAATTTGTCGAAATGTCGTCGGTGATTTCAAATTGATTAAAGTCAAGACCAGCGCTTAGGAGATTAGGTTTTAAGGATTTGGCGGGAGTGGAAGTGTATATTGTGTCTCGTGTGTTTGAACTAGACTCAATCGAGTCACTTAGAGCGGTTTTATAAAGATTTTTCGCTGTAAGTTCATTGGATGTAGAATTCGAACTCATTACCTCTACCCAAAGAATCGCAAATGATCCCGGACGAGCCCCCAAAAACTAGGTTCTGTTACGTCCAAGCCCCAGGATTCTTTATGGCATAGGAAAATTTAGGAATTGAAGAGGGGGCGTGGGAGGACGCAACTGACACCGCTCTTGTAGCAAACGCTTCAAGAAGCGTGCCACAAGTCAGAGACGCAATAAGGTCACAGATATGGGTCAACGTCGGCGTACGTCGCTATTACCCGGCCCGGCCCTGTGACAGTGTCTCCGTCGGTCCCCTTTTAGATCAAGGAACTTAATCCTTTTGATCAGGGATCGGACCGTGCGACTTAGTGGGATGAGAAATGAGTCGAAGGTTTTTCTAATAAACTACAGCGATTTTAAATAGTCGGATACCAAAAAGAGTTTATTATTTCCTGTATATTAAACAAGGCTCGAAGGAAACAAATGTTATAATATTTTTTAT